GATTCTATTGAACATCAGGAGGAAGATGCTGGTCTGTGTTTGTGGCTGGTGCTTTCTCCGGCTGATGCAACTGTGCTGTTAGAGTGACCTTCAAAAATCTCTGTTGTCATTGATCATTGAAAAGCAAGTGTGGCCTAATTGATTTTCTCTTTAACAAACCATGTGTGGCTCTGCGTCAGGAGGAACATGCTGGGGGCTTGCAGGAGGGACTGGCTGATGGGTGACCACGCGGGGGCCAGGGACTGGCTGCTCCCAGGGCCAGCTTCTCCTCCTCCTGGACTCAGACCTGGCTGAGTAAGGGCCGTGATGGAGAACGCCACTCGTTAACACATGTAGTGCAGACGGGGACTGGAGAGCTTAGTGAGTATTCTTGCCCCCAGGCGCTCCTGCAGGGAAGGGCTCCCCAGGGCCAATTAGTATAAGTTTGCTAACCAGTTGTTGACAACTATGGTAGGAGTATTTACACCACGGAAATGGGCAAACCCTACAAACCATGCCCCCTCCCCTCCCCCCACCCTCAGGAGCTGTTTCCCACACTCTATTGTGAGAAGGGCAGCATGGCAGCAGGGAGCATGGATTGGGGTTGGACACTGTGGGGCTGTGTGACTAAAGCAAGTCACATTGCCTCTCTGTTCCTGTCTGTAGGATGGATAATGACACCCACGCCAAAGGCCTGATGTGAGGACTGCGTTCGAGAACATAAGCTAAACTAAACTAAACTGGCAAGTGGTTGCCGGAATACTAACAGTTTGCTGCCTCTCCTGCTATTTGAAAAGCATTAGGCTAATTTTCATTTGGCTCTTTTTGCTTCTCTCTTCTCTTTAAATATACTTTTGGCCGAGCCCTGACATGCATTGAGCCCAAAGAAAATACAAAAGCAAAGACTTCCCAAGGGAGAAATGCCGTTTTCCTCTGACCTGTCACGTGGCCTGCCTCGCAGGCTCATCACACAGTGAAAGGGTCAACCTCCCGCCTTTCTCATCCTCTGGCCTCCATGGCTGTAATGCGTAATTACATTAAATGTGATTTTTTAAAATTGTGATGTTTAAGCTCCTGGAACTGTCAGGGGAAGACAGGTCCTAACAAAGCAACTGTATGTGCAGCTTGTGGTGTCACCACCGTGTTCTATAATTATAAGAAAACTAGTTGTCATAGCAACTGCCACACAGACCGAGCCTCCTTCTGGAGATGCTGACAAGCTCCCAGCGCCGGAATCCAAGCAGTTCGGAGAGAATGTGGCTCCCCGAGGGGGTTCAGCTCTCTCGGGAGATAATCACGAGCTCATTCTAATTCCACATCCTGCACCTTGTGGCACCGTGCAACCTGATAGGCTCTAGAACGCACTGGCTGCGTGACCTTGGACCAGTCACCTCACCTCCATGAGCCTGTTCCCGCTTGTAAAACGGGGTACCAGTGCCCCCTTCGGAGGGTAGTGTGTTGATTATGTTTGTGCCTTGCAGATGGCCTGCACAGAGCCGTCTGCAATGTGTGTATATCAGACACCTTCCATTAACCTCTTCACTGTGGACAAAGAAAAAGAAAAACTGCTGAATTAGGGGTTGTTTTCAAACTCTTTATTATAATAATTATTAATCTTGATAGTATTTGTAGCTAGATAACCAAGTTAGTAAATAGAAATTCTAGCATGAATCATGCATATTAGGAAGAGGGAGGGAGAGGAGGGAGGAAGGAAGGGAGAGGAGGAGGGAGGGAGGGAGGGCGGGGAGGGAGATGGGGAGAGAGAATATTCGGCAAGATGACACTGACTTCCATCCTCCAATATTTTTCCGTTATGGCATTTCTCTGAGGCTAAGGAAAGAATCTCTAATCTCTAAAAACATCTCTAAACAGAGATGTTTCTTGTCTCAGTCTTTGGGCCTCACTTTCCTGTTTGTAAAATTCGGAGTCGGTGGGCTGGTCCCCAGGAGGGGAGGAGGGGGGGGGGGGGGGGGGGGGGGGGGGGGGAGGGAGATGGGGAGAGAGAATATTCGGCAAGATGACACTGACTTCCATCCTCCAATATTTTTCCGTTATGGCATTTCTCTGAGGCTAAGGAAAGAA